TATCTATCTATCTATCTATCTATCTATCTATCTATCTATCTATCTATCTATCTATAATATTATATGTATAGAAATGGGTATTAATATATTATATTGTTAAAAGGGTTATTTTATTATGGCCTTTTGCGTCATGACGGATGATTTTTAAACAATCTATTATGCATAATGCAGCTTTACCTATGCCGTCGACATAAATGAAGTAGATTGCTCAAGTACCACATCTCTCCCTTTATATCTCGACTTCCTTGATATGCTCCAAAGAAGATACACCATCAATACGTTTGGAATCAAGTAAGGTGTAAGACTGTGTTTTATTTTTTTACCAGTGTGACAGGGTTATTTTGATGGTAGGGTTATTTTGAATTTTGCCCTGGTCCCGGCCTAGTGGCCTACTTTTCTGCGATTTTCTTCCACTACGGAATCTTTAACATGCTCAACGTGTACATGGGACCCCAATATTTTAGTCCTTATTCGAGAAGACTGGATGACCGCCTTTGCCTACCTCAAGATTAGGGTTGTAGAGGGCTGATGTAAAGTTGTTGTTTTTTTAAACTTAGAAAGAGAGAAGATTAAAGGGAAAAAAAAAGAAAGAGGGGAGAACACTATGCTGTATTCTAAATATTATGATAATATTTATTTTATACAAATCATATCTAAGTAATATATTTTATAATATGTAATATACTTACTGTGTTACTACGTATGTTTGTATTGTCATAACTATGTGCACAGACTCAACTAAGATCAAACAAATGTTGATAAACCTATTGAGACAACTACATGCACGGAGCCAAGGGATAATCAGCTGATTCAACAAGCTTTCCACCTTTGCGAGAGCGAATATTATTCGGTTATCACTGACCTAGGTTTATACACATCACATAGAATAGGGACTTCCATCTATCAATATAATTACTGTGTTCACGCTCTGCAGCATCTCTCCTATTTTTTAAAACTCGTTTTCTTTAAAAACATATAGATAACGTTATTAAAAAAACAAAAAACTTTCCAGTCTATTTGTCAGGATCCTTTATAACGGAGTCTGTTGCCTCTGTGCTCATTTTCCAGTTCTCTGTCTCTCCCAACCTCTGTCTACCTCTAATGCCCCCCCCCCTCTCTATCTTTGTCTCTCTGTCTCCCTGTTTCCCTGTGTCTCTGTTTTTTGTCTATCTGTCTGTATAATAATCTTTCTCTTTCTCTCTCTCTCTATGTCTCTCTCTTCCTATCCCTCTCCCTTAACCATTCCTTTCCTCCCCGTTTTATTACATCTACATCCTTCTCCCCTCTCCAAAATCTATACACTATAGCACAATACACCTCACACTAACGGATGTTGTCACAGATGAGCTAGTTCCAGTCGATGATAATTCCTGCTCTCAGCAAACCGCCGCAAAAATATAGCATTATGTTCTTTCTGCGCAACGAGTTATCAATTACATTAACAGCTCATGTTCTCTGAACGCGAACAAGGTATCGGGGGAGCTGTGGATTTCTCTGGAGGAATTTATTCCACAAAATTACTGTGATGGAGAGCCATGCACCAGAGATCACAAGTTGGCAAAAAAAGCACGTTAAAAAAGCACATGTTGGAAAGCACGTTAAACTCTTCTAGATGAGGATGAAAAAAAGCTGATCTCTAAGGAAACTTCTGACTTCAATCAAACTGAACCACCGTTAAGATAAGACTCCCTGCCGCCTCTTTTCTATCCCCCTCCCCCCTTCACCTCCAACACACACACACACACACACACACACACACACACACACACACACACACACA